ATAAAACCTCTTTTTCAGGAGGACCTGGGAGAACAACCACCTTGGTCATTATATTGGAGCTGAAAGATTTTGAACCATTTTGGCTTGTCGATGTTCCAGTCTTGTTGGGTTGCCTAGGTAACCCTATAGTATTTACTCCCAGGTCGTTCGTCAATCAGCGGTATCCTTTGCTGTCATTGGTAGCCACTTCAATTGCTCTCCTTAAGTTAAGAGAGAAGCTGATCTTGTGACCCACTCACTTTGTGCCACCAGCAGTTATTTCGCCTCTAGTGACTTTAAATGACCTGTGGTCTCTGATCACCGCATCGCTGCCAATGTGGACACAGCCTCAGTTTTCAAATCTAGCTGCTGTCAATTGCTGACACTAAGCTACCCCATCCAGTAGCTTAGATCCTGAACTACCAGACAGTTTGAGTGCTTTTTTTTTAAATAGCTATTCCTAACCTCTCACCACTATTCACAGAGGTATGGTACCTTTTAAACTGGAGAAAAACAAAACAGTAAGCCCACACATCTAACCCCTCACTAAGTCACTGCTCATAACAACTGACTCCAGTCTTCATGGACATCTATAATGCTTCACTCAGCCCAACAAGATACCTGCTTGCCTCAAAAATTCCAAACCTATTTCGAACTCAAGAAGAATATCTAACATTAAAGCCTACAGGCTTGTGGTCCTGACATCGCTGGCAATGAAGACATCTGAGCACAAATTGGTGGCACACATTAAATTAGTCACAGCCCCCCTGATGGATTCGCTACAGTTTGCATACTGTCTAAACCAGCCTACAGATAATGCAGTCAACCTGCACTTCACCTTATCTGGAAACCAAATATAATTACATAAGAATTTGACTTGGTGATTTCAGTTCCGCTTTTAAAACTACAAACCCTGTAAAGCTTTTCAGGAAACACATCAGCACATCAATTTTCCTCTGAGTCCTTGATTTTTTTTTTTAAAGGGGTCAAGTTGTAAGATTAGGCTGAGTCCTTTTTACCTCTTCTCCCTCTTCACTATTGACTTTATATCAACAGCAAACTCTTTCAGGACTTTAAAATATGTGGACTAATCTCAAAAGAAGAGGAAACTCAGGTTGGAAGTGGAGAAGTCACTGAAATGGTGCGGGAGAAATGAATGAAAATAATGACATGGGTTATCAAACATAACCTGGAAAATTGCTAAATGATGTTCCCCACTAAATTGTTTCTTTCTTATTCTAGTGCCATTACCAGTTTTTGGAGGTAAATGAAAATTTATAAATTTTAATTTCAGATAAAAAACAAAAAATCATATTTCATTCTAGGGGAAGTGTGCCCGTCACTGGCTGTATTATAAAGTGCTGCCAATTCTACACTACTAGCTTTGTGACATAATGTTGATAGTCGTAAGGTCATTAGTCAGGCATGCTTTGCAGTTTAGATTGGAACAGATAAGCACAAGGTTGAATCCATGTTGGCTTTCATGCTTTAGAGAAGGCTACAAAAAGACAACAGTCACCAGACACTTTGCTGGTATCTGACCAGATTATAGTTGGTATCTGACCACTGTCCACAACTCTGCTGTGTCTGATAGTTAATGGTTGTCCAACCACCATTGGACAGTCTCTGCCCAAGGGATTCGTTTCACAAACATTCCATGGCTCGCCACCATCCACCATGCACAGAAATCCTGATTCATTGCGTTGTAACATGTCTTTGAGCAGGTTCCTTTGAAACAATGTTGTCAGCAGAAATACTGAGGTTCAATAAATGTTTAAAAATGTATGATTTCTATGCATTAATGTAGCTACAGTGGAGCCACGGTAAATGTTTTATTTTGTGCAACCAAGTGTATAACTATGGAAAGACTCAAGCATCATTGCTATCAATTCCCAATCACTAGAACATTATGCTCTGATTAAGGAATAATAATCTAGAAGAAAACTTCACAAGGATTATGGATTTTGACGATGATGTGTTAATGCCTACCGTCTGTATAGTCAGAAATGATATGATGAAAATATATAACTGCAATGCATACTCATATAATCACATATTTTCATATTTTTCAGGTGATATAAATGACCGAAAACGGCAGCAGTCATTTGTGTCTGTCTTAGTATGATTAGCGTTCCTTTAGCGACATATAAGATGTTACACACCAACATCATATTGCCAATATCTCCCAGTAACTATAGGTTGACAAGTTTAAGGCTAAAATAAATACAAAGTGATTATATTAATTACAGCAATAACAATCCCAAATATATACACATGTAATACTGATGAAGTAAATAACTTTCATCCAGCACTTACATGTGGGACATGGTACAGTATGTCACAAAGACAGAGAAGGTAATTGCTGAGTAATTTTATGCAGCTGCAACCTTTATGCGCTGCCTGACTCTTCTGCAGAATGTAATGTTTGGCTCTTTACGTAATCACTTAACTGTTTCTTATACTGAGCAGGCTGTCTCCAACAACTACAAAAACCTGGCACCCAAGAGCAGTAGTAATTTTACCTGACACTGCTCTTTAGCTGACCCTGGTCTTTGACCTGCCTGGAAATGCAGAAGCAAAAAGATTATTCTGTCCGCGGGGATCAATAGAGTATCACAAAAAGCTTACATTGTATTCTCCTCTACCTTGGTGTTTTAGTTGAAGCGAGAAACTGAGAAAAAGGTGATCTCTTATATGCTATTTTAGTCATTTAAAGGATAAAATCCTAAAATGCCACAAATGTAGCAAATGATATACAGCATGCAGGTCTTTAAAATGTCTTTCCATACCCCACAAGAGCAACTCCACATGAACACAAACACCTTTTGTGCCTCAGGGGTTTATGACTTGATGTAGTGTTGTTTCTTTTTCAAAAGACACTCCATTTATATTGCATATATTGAAAACTTTCTCAGCCTCTTTGTCCATAATACTATGACGCATTTGTCACAGTTTGCAGGGGTACAGCACTACAGGATCCATTAGTGGGATGAGCTGCTATATATACTGTTGCGCTGTTGTAACTACAAAAGACAGACATGCATTTGTGTGCACACTGGTTTGTGAGTCTCTCATCGTTCACATGTCAGGTAGACACGAATCCATTTGTACATAAATTTGTGGACAGTTGGCCGCGAACATGTGTGCGTCAGTCTGTTTTATCTGCGTGGTATGGCACCGCGGCTTACATGATTTAGCTAGTAATTAGAGAATAGAGACGTATCCAATTATTGGGGTTATGAAATATCACCCTGTCTCAGTAGTTATTCCAGTACTGTCTGCACCCTGCCATATTATTACGCCAGCTGCATATATGATTAGGTGTGTGCATGTGTGTGTAAAAGAGAGAGGAAGAGAGAAGAAGATAGTGAAAGAAAAAGAGTACAGTATATGAGTCTATCTAGAAGAGGCGGTGTCTACAAAGGAAACTCATTTATGCTCAATGTAAATTATAGGTGGCAGGACCACATGCTTGTAGGAACCGCAGCCAAAGCTGTTGCACACAGTCCCATGACACCTTGTGTGTCATGGGACTGTGTGTGTGTGTGTGTGTGTGTGTGTGTGTGTGTGTGTGTGTGTGTGTGTGTGTTTTGGTGGTGGTGGTGGTGGTGGGGGGGGCAGCATACTTGAAACGTAGCAGCTATGTTTTAGCTACTGCATTTCTCTAACTCTCTAGTACATAAAAACACACAAAGGGCTACATAGTGTGCATCATGAATTGCACCACTCTGCTTGCAGCTTCACTGCAGGCGATCCATCAGATGCATGCACTCTTGCTCTCACATGGCAGGCTAGACACACAGGAGGAAATACATGTGTGACTGTGTGTGCCTGCCCTTTATTTGTGTGGGTGAGAGTGTGTAAATATGTACAATCATATCTCACTTAGTGAAAAAGCCTCCACTTGCTCTGCCTGTCACCAGCGGAAACAAAGACCAAGGACCGTTCAATATTAGCAACTGGAGAGCTGCTATCTCCAGCCATCTGGGAGAAGAAAAAGAAAGCTACTCTATGGATCTCTCCAGATGCTACCAGAAAGCAGATTTCCAAAGCAGAGGTATACAGAGAAAACATTAACTCCATCGAGAGGGTTTGATATAAATGGTAAGATGGCTATCTGTTCTGGGAGGTGATGATGAAAACGGAGACATCACCGCAGACTGGAGATGGCACAAGTGTACGCACATTTATTTTGCATGCACAATATGCAAGTATACAATATAATATGCAGAAAGTAAGCCGGGTTGAAATTTGATATGATTTTCATTTTAGACATATTTTGTTCCTAGACGCAACATCAGTGCAAAGTGAAATATTGTAGACCTTGTATTAATGTCTCTGTAGGCTCCTTTGTTTTCTTCCTGCCTTGCACACACACACGCGCAAACACACACACACACACACCTGCCTCCAGCCCCTCCCTTAATGGTCTCTACCAGGCACACACTGACAGATATGAGAGTACAAGTGATGCAGTGTAGTGAAGCAGGTGAGGCATGCGGAAATAATTTACAAGATGCTCATGGGAACTGGAGGATGGGACTTACTCCTGTATTCCGGAAGAGATGTACACATTTGTCACGTCCTGCAGTAACTGTATGGATATGATAAGGATGCAGTTTGGGGAGTATTTTTTGAGATAGCAGAAATGTTTATAGAGCACAGGAATCTGAACTTTTCTCATATATTCCTCATGAGGCATGCGAGTTGTTATCGCAGGTGACTGCTGCCTTGAACTTATACGCGGACTCCGCTGATCATGTAGAGAATTCCTCAGCTCTCTGACAACAAAAACCATGCCACGGTAACAGTCGCCTATCGCCGCCAGCCGCCCTAAGCGCCCCTAATTGGATCATCTGATTGACTGGCATACTCCTCGGCATTTTTCATTGGCAGGGCGGTAATGGAGCCGTGACTGTGCTCCAGTAAAACAACCTAAAGGCGGAGCGCGGAGGGAGAGGCGGAGCTCTCCTTGGTACTTAAACGGAGGTGGCTCTGGTAGAAGTGAAGCACGAGCTCACGACAGCCGGACCGCACAGTGAGCGGTGCGAAGAGTAAGGGATAAGAGTGAGAAGAAAGGGGAAAGGAACAAAAAGAAAGAAGGAGAGCAGGGGACTGCGCGGCCCTCTGTACTAATGGACCACAAGGATATTTAACCGCTTGCCCTGGGAGCGCACAGGTATCCTCTTCCCTCACTCTCTCTTGCCATGCGCTATGCGTAAAGGCACCAGGTTGCCTTTTATTTACAGCAGTTTCTCTCATCAGTTTCAGCTGCCGTTCTTGTTCCGTTTTTCTTCTTTTTGTTTGCACGTGAATCACCTCAGCTTTTATACATTGTGCCCTAATTAGTGGCTGACTCATATGTGCGAAGAGGGCAAGGGGTAGTAAATCATCAGTGCACTATTTCGAGTTTTCCTGTCTCTCTGTATAGTGCTGAGAACTGTTGAGGGCTTTCTTCCACTTCTCTCCAGTACCGAGCAAAATCATCCACATGTAGCAAAGCGTTTGTGAACAACGGTCTTGTTGTGTGAACGTTTAACACGTTTGTTTGATTCCGTATTTTACAGCTTATGACACCCGCTCTCATTCCCGTGCTCTCTCCCTGTCCCCTCAGACACCGCAGTCCATGCCTCTCCCTTGCCAGGTCATTGATGGGAAATCAACTGGATCGGATCACCCACCTCAACTACAGCGAACTGCCCACGGGGGATCCGTCCGGGCTGGAGAAGGACGAGCTTCGAGTCGGCGTCGCCTACTTCTTCTCTGACGAAGAGGAGGAGGTGGACGACCGCACTCCGTCTGACTGCGGATTCACCAAGGACCACAGCCCGACCGAGGAGGGACCCTTATCGGTCAGCGAGGTGGAGTACTCGGCTTTCTGCTCCCAGGAATGCATCTTCTCCAAGCTGCGCGAGAACGAGGACTTGAATGTGTACTCGGCCAAAACTTTGCTGACTATGTGCAAACCGGGGGACCTGCTGGAGCTGGTGGCCACCGCGCAAGCCCCCCACTGGGTCATCTTCGAGCAGGATGACCAAATCATTCATCTGCACAAGGGCGAAATCCGCAAAGACAGCCTGCTTGAGATCAGCAACGGCCGCCACGGGAGAATAGTCAATAATCGTTACCGCTATCGGCCGCTACCCCCTGACCTAGTGATGCAGAACGCAGCGGGACACGTGGGCCTGAACAGCGAGGAGATATGCTGGACCAACTCGGAAAGTTTCGCTGCCTGGTGCCGCTTTGGGAAACGGGAGTTCAAAGCCGGGGGAGAAGCGCACTCAGCGGAGCAGCAGTACTTCCTCAAAGTGCATCTGTCCGGCAGCGAGGTGCACACTCTGGTCTTTCGCAGCCTGGAGGACATGATCCGGGAGAGAAGGCGAGTAGACGCCAGTGGAATTCTCAAAGAGCTCTCTCTGGTTAACGGGGGCAAGGAGTGATCAGGGATTCCGTTTGATATCGTCTCCTCCACCCGCCCTCCCTGCCTCCTCTTTGCCAAAGCGCACGGACGCACACTTTTGCGCACACAATAACGTACTTTCACACAAGCACACGGACGCACACGTGCAAGGACCTGTTGGTGTTGGACTGTCTGTTTGTCACGGATGGGGCCTGAGTTTTATTTCTTTTCTTTTTTTCTGGACCAAAGGCGCCCTGTGGAATTTCCATCAAAATACAGTGTTGAGAGAAAAGAGAGCGCGGCCATATAAACAGACAACGCCCATTCTGGTTAGAATTCGTGCTGAGTGGGACACACGATTTCTAAGAAACTCATTGTTCCCGATAAGCGAAATCACCTTTACAACCCCTCCCCACATTGCGCGCACGGCTCGGTTTGGTTTCTGTTTAATTTCTCGGGATAATGGAATTGGCCCCTTCTGTATATAGGGTGCCTGCTGCAGCAGACCAGACGGTGAGACCGGCAGAAGGAGAGGGAGGGAGGGGTTGAAAGATAGGATTTGGGATGGCTCTCGAGAAGTCTCCCTTCTATTTTTTTACTGTTAGCTTTAAAACCTGGACAGACCACGACATAGATCCAAGCCACAAATTCACAGACAGTCCTAGCTGATTACGCAGTTGCCTAAACAAAACATTTTGGCTTGACCAAGCTCCCCTGTTGCCATATCAAAAGTATTGTCATTTTCACAATGCTGTCATCCTGCTCCACAGCACTGGATGTATGTGTAAATTGTGTTCATATACTGATTTCGATTTGAGTCCCTTATTTTTGTATTTCAGTTTAGTGGATTTAACCCTGATCTCTCTTTTTTTTTTTTTTTTTTTGATTCAAATAAATGGAGGTTGAAATTTGAAAATAAGAACTTGGTCTATCAGGTGTTGTTTGGTCGCCCATAAACACACATGTACCATCTCACATTCTCAGATGCACACATTTACACACTCATACACACACTTTTGAATTATTGATGTTCTAGTGCCTTCTGACCTATATCTCCACATCATTTGGAGGTAGAAAATGGTCATTTGCATCAGACACATAAAGGCTTTATGAAAAATCCATATAGAATCTGAGAGTTGCAGTATAGGCGGCTGCTTTAAGTCAATGGGAAAAAACCTTTTTTTTATGTCCACAGGCTATATTCATTTGTGTGGATTTTATCCTGTTGCTATTCAGTCTTTTCCAAACATTTTGATCTCTCTGATGTTTTACCAGCCATACAGCCACATTAGTAAAGTTATGCTGGCATTGTAGGACATAGTTTCTATCTGCATTGTAAACAAGATGTCCTCCATACAGTATAATAGTATAATTCTTATCAGGATGGAGCACACTGTGTGCTTTTATGGCACCGATGTTGTATTAGTCTGCAATGCCTTTATCTCTGCAGTGTTGTTATTACTCCTCTGCTATGAGTGTCAGACAGTGCCTTTATTTTCTTGGGATTGTGATCTGATGTATCACTGAAGGTGGGGTAAATCACGTCTCAAAAAAACAAAATCAAAAAAGCAACAATATCTTCCATGAAACACCAGAGAGTAGGTTTGTGGAAAGATTTTTCTGTGTGGTGTTCCTTTGTTAAGTCTCCTCCACTTGATTCTGTTCTAATTGCATGTATAAATGAGCAGCTAAGCTCTCCCTTAGGTATTAATGATTTTATCTATGACTCTTTTTTTTTCAACGTGGTCGTGAAAACAGGAGCTGCAGTTGTTTTAGCTGAAGCCAACTGAGGGGAAAGGCAGACAAAGAGTTTGTGTGCGACAGAGAGAGAGAGCATGTATGCAGGGTTACCCAGGATGTGTGTGTGTGTGTAATGTTTTAACTGCTTTAACTGATTGTTGTGGAGACATTCCCAATCAGAAAATGTCTCATGTCCACCCTATACGTGTGTGTGCAGATGTTGCATTGTCAGCCTGCAGATGAATTCATGTCAAAGGATAAACTAATGAGCTTGTGGGCCTTGTAAATGTTGCCTTTGGAAGATTTTCTCTAGCTATTGTCCTAAATATGTGATTGTACCAGCTTTCCTGTGATTCTATTGGCACATTTCTCTCACGCTTCCTCTTGTTTTCCTCGAAATCCATTTACTTGTCACTTGTCACCACCTCCCCATAATTGTTTTGCATTGTACTCCTTGCAGACCACATTAACGGACCAATCTGTGTGAAAAATGAGCTGAAATTGAAATCAGCACGTTTACAAAATTATTCAAAGTAAAAAAACAAAAGGCAAACATGTTCTCCCTGTTAACGATCATGAAATCCAGATGGATCCAGATAAACTCTTTTTACTGTTGTTTTATGTTTTTGCTTTCTTCTGTGTTCTGGCTGTTTAGTATGTTTTTGAACAGACTCTGTGGTAAACTGAGCTTGCCTCAGGTGGGTGATTATGTGTGCGCATGTATGTGTGAGTGTGTCAGCCATCCCCCGTGAGCTTAAAAAAATCAGGGTAGTGGGGCAGCCACTGTTAGAGTGTGTGTTTGTGGTCTGTGACTAATAGGCCTCAGAGAAAGATTCACAAGGGTGCGTGTGTGCGCGCGCACGCACACATGTGCATTTTAGGCAGACATCGCACCACATTGTTAGCTCGAGGAGAGGCTTTTGCCATCTGACATCACACTGTGTTTGTGTGCATTAGTTTCCGCTCTTTATATAGTCTACCACATATGTGAAAGTGTGAAACCTAACTGCCTGAAGTGTGTTCCAGCTTGCGTGTGCAAATGACTCTGTGTGTGTGTGTGTGTGTAAGTATGTCAGACATGTGTTGTGTGCATGTGTAGCAACAGTGAGCTGCATCTTCTATCCATCAGTGAAGGTAAACCCCTTCTCACTATGGAAACCATGGACACTGTTTTGATGTGTATCCGCTGAGGTGTTTTGTGTGCTTGCATTTTTATGTGACTGTGCAAGCCCTCTAAGGCTCAAAGCTAACTGTTAGCTTTAATAGCAAGTCATGTAAGACAAACACATAACAAACAAATCTATCTCTTCTTTTCTCTGTCTATTTTCATCTCTCTCACACACACGCACACACACACACACGCACACATGCTTAAACCGACTCACTAGAGACCATCAATTGTTCCTGGCATGGATGTCTTCAATTCACACAGGGGTTTGTCGTCAGTGTGTGTGCATCTGGACAAAGCAGATCCCAGCTAGCCTGCTGCCAGCTAAATCAGTGGTCTCAGAGGAGATGTTCTGGGAGGAGGGAACAAGACAGAATATCCTGTCTGCATGATGCCTTTAAGAGGATCTCCCTCTAATCTAGATACTGGTCTGAACTCCCAGTAGATTTGAATATCTTTTTTCTTTTTTTCCCTCCTCCTGCCACCGTTCTTTAAGATGGGCACCATACGGAACAACAACACAGCTGGCGGTGTAGATGAGGCAGTGGCAAATGGTTTACACGCTGTTAAAATGTTGGTAACAATGGTTTCCTGTTAACATCTGCTGTAAAATTGTTTTGCTTTTTATATATTATACGCATCATTACTATAGCTGAACCCACACCTACATGTTGATATTTAAACCGAATGCATTTGTTATTGGAATTACAGACTAAACCTGCTTATCAGTGTCCTCAAAGTGCTTCATTATGGGGCGGACTGATTAAACATACGTCAGGTTTGTATATGAACGATGCTTCTTTAAAACCCAGTGCATCCTGCATCCTGCATTATTGGCATTATCCATGCATCCATATAGTTTAAAGGATAAATCTGGTTTCCTGCTTTTTTCCTTCTTGTCAACAAATGTTATGAAATAAAAATACCAACAATGACTTTATCCTGCTGACAAATACAGCCTGTTTAGTTGAAGCTTATCATAGCTTATTCTGTGTATGGTGCAGAATATAAAAACAACATGAGTGAGCCACAGTGTTACATTTAAGTGTTTCTTTATTATGATGAGGATGGGCACTGATATTTGCATTCCCACTGCACTAAATTCATGGTTCAACATCATCGCCAACAAATTCACTGTTTGCGTCTCTCCCTACTGTTTGCTGTTTCAGAAAACTCTGTAACCCTTTCTCAAATACAAAAGTATAACAAAACAAAGAACTGTTGCGCTTGTTGCAAAAGCCCTATGAGCCACGTCTTTGGAGACTTTTACGCTGTGGGAAATGAGCTTTTTTGGCATTCTGTTGCTTGCGTCCCTGCCCCCTCGCCTCAGCGTGAACTTTGTGGGTAAATCGGTTCATTAGATGCCTACAGTCACTAGAAATCACAAAAGCACTACAGGTTTCTAATCAGTCACTTTTGCAATTAACAAATGAGCTTTTTATTGAAGGAAATTACCTCTACAGGCTTACCAAGGTAAAAAAAAAAAAAAAAAAAACCCAAAAAACAAACAAAAAAAACAGAATGTAAGAACAAGTGGCCAGCATGTATTGAAATAAAAGAGAATAGTACAAGTAAAATACACTGAATGTAAAGAGAAAATGTAATTTATTAACAGGAGAAACAGAGAAGTGTGTTTGTGTTATTCAGTGTGAGAGCCCAGTGTTTCTCGTCCTAACAAAAGATGGCTTGAAGTAAAAGGAGGAACCACTGCTCTCATTCAGAGTTTGTGTGAACAAAGAGCAAACCAGTAATCCTCTGCTAAAATCATAAAAGCTTGCCCCACCTCTAAACAAGTTCTTCCGCTGAAGGAGACTTGTATGGAAACATTAACTGTGCCCCGCCTAGGTTACGTACAACAGGTGGGCCAACTGACATGCAAATAAACACTTCTGTTTAAACACGATCCTTTGTCTGCACTACAACACCACTGAGTAAACGCTGTTGTCAGTTAATGTCAGTTTTTCCTAGTCAAATTTCATATGACTGTTTGAAATGTGCCAAGGTCATCTGGAAAGGTTCTTTGTTTCAATGAGAAAGCAATGCGATGTTTGGCTTAGACAATGTGATGATTTGCCCCTTATATTTGTTCATTTAATGGCCTATTGGGGCAAAAATATTCAGATCCTGTACAACATTTAAAAAATACTCCATTACATGCAAAATCTTAGAAACATTACCCTAAACCACTACAAAAGCGTTTATTTCTTCTTCTTCTTTTACTACTACTACTATCTGACTTCCACTTGCTAAAAGATGCTTAATGAATTAACTGGTGATTGGTTATTGAATTGGATAAGAGGTTAATAACATGTACTATTTTTTATTTTTTTGCTTTCCAATACTGTTGTTGTTTAATCTATAGCAACGTATTATTTTTCATAAGGTGATTATGTTCATGTATGAGTATCTTAGATAATGTTTAATCTAGTGCTCATTAAAATGACGTTAACGCCATAACCGCTGCAAATCTCTGTTAGCGAGTTACCGCGGACCACCCCGTGCGTGGGCCTGGACGCTGCTAACACATTAATGAGCCAACTGCGCTAACGCATTGACGCCGTGGAGCACCACGCATGGGCCGATCCGCAGTAACTCGCTAACGCAGATGCAGTTATGGAGTTAACGTCATTTTAACGAGATTAACGCTGACAGCACTAGTTTAATCTCAAAGTATTGGGATCCTCTCCAAATTTTAAAGTTGACTAAAATGGGAATAGTCATGTAAAACGGGATCTCTAAATTGCATTCTGTGCTTGAAAATTGTACTCATTAAAAGTAACTTAATGGTAAACAGATGGGTTAAGCGTTAGGTCCTCTGTATAGCAATACGTTTGTTGTTAAATGTGAGTAGCAAAAGAACAAAAAAAACCCTTGCGGATGACTAAAAACCCAACGGTGCCACTTCTTCAGTGCAGGTTTTCCATCATTTCACTGTTCTTCACTGAGCTGAGGGCTGAAATGGCCTCAGGATATGTG